ACTTTCTATGTCAGAAAAGATGGAGGTCAGAGCGTGGAGAACTGAACCCAGAGCAGTCAGATTGGCAAGTGTCCCCATGGAATTTACACTTGTTTCCTTAGCCCTGATTGCAGATGTGTCCATGAGAACTTCCTGCTTCCCCTAACAACTTCTCATATCTTCCCGAGGAAGGAGCCATCATACAGTAGTAGGGTGTATCTTTAAATAAGTATGGTCCCAAATTCAATCTCTGCTCTCTTTCTATAGCAACCATGATCTTGGATAGGTGGTTGGTCCCACTTCTGCAACCGGTGCCCCTGAAAAGTGACTGGATTAAATAAACCATGGGTCCAGGGCCATAAAAAGCAGCTAGCTCCACACAGTGCTTGAAAGTAGTCCTGTGGCACTCAACCCAGTGTGGGCCACTGTGGTGCAGTGGTTAAGAGCGTGGGACTGGGACTCAGACGACCTGGGTTCGAGTCCCCGCTCAGCCATGGAGCCAACTGGGTGACTTTGGGCCAGTCACGGACTCTCAGCCCAACCTACCTCACAGGGTTGTTGTGGGGATAAGATGGAGGAGGAGTATGATGTAAGCTGCCTTGAGCCCTTTGTAGGAAAAAGGCAGGATATAAATCCATAAATAAATAAATAAATAAATAAAACCCTACTTATGAGTAGACACAGAGCCTTGTTCTGCTTACTTGTGAGAGGACATCATGCCCAAGGCACTTGGGATCTTATTTGGCCATTTGGATTGGTTCAGTTTTGCTTATGTTTGGTGCTGCTGTGTAAGCTTATACTGAATAAGAATCGCATTTGGCCATGTCCAGCCTCTCTTTGGCTCCAGTGACAAGGGAACTTGGTCCTCCAGACTTTTCCCAGGCTTTCCACCCCTGTTTTGCAAGCCTCAGAAAAGAAAACTTTCTTGAAATGGCTTGTTGGTGATGCTGTCATTTTATGCTGTGATGGCTTGAGCTGAGCACCCAGCCTGGATAACTGAAGTGTTTTTATGGCATTGCAAACTATATTAGAGACTATACTTGAAATCCATTTCCTAAGCATTATCATGTTTGCACTTGCCTTTAAAAAAGTTTAGCATTATCTTCTCTGCTTGAACATTCATTATCTGACTTGGTGTTTTCCCTAAAGGGAGGGGGCATACAGCCCCTACTAATAAGAAGGAATAAAAGCATAAGCAAGTGAGAGCACCGCATTTCTAGAAAACAGTCTATTTTAAGGGCTTTTAGCACATTGCAAGTAATTGGTCAGGACATGGAAGTATTTCTTGGCAGGAAGGGGAAAAGCGGATAGTGCCTTTCTAGCAGGTCACTATTATATGGCTTGACAAATGCGAGAAGCCATATTTCTTATGGTAATGAGCCCACATCAGCAAGCCGGTCTGCAGAGAATGCTTTGAAGGCTGCCAGAGGATATGGGAGGGGAAGGGAGAAGAGAACCAGATTTTGTGGTTTCAGAGCTGAACCAAGAGGCTGATTCGGATGGATATTTTGAATTAGTCATTTGAAATGTGAGTCTGATCTTTGTTTCAACTTGATGTGGAATATTTATTTCAAGAAGGCCTCCAGTTTGCTCCTGAATAAAATGCTCCTTCTGTCTCAAGGCTTGGCTTTCACAAGCGTTTGTCCCCTGCAAAAGAAATGACAGACAAGAAACCGGAACATGCAAAGCTGCCTTGTGCAGGGTCCAGTAAAGATTGGCACCCCGACAGGAGATTTTCTAGTCCTACCTGCAGATTCTGAGGAGTGAGTTTGGAACCTGTTTTAGGCTAATTCTGTGCACTACTCCTAAACCACAGCTGCTCCCCAACAGGAAAACTGTGGGATTATTAAAGATTATTAACCTTTGAAATGTCTCTAGGCTGGGAATGTCCACAACCTCTCCAGGCACCTGGTTTCACTGTCATATTTCTTTTCCTTAGTCTCATTTGTCACAACTTGAGTTGATTATTCCATGCCCTACACTCTGGGATGAGTGAGAAGAGATTCTGTCCTTCCTCTTTGTGACACCCTTTTAGGTACTTGTAGAGTGCTATCATATCTCCCCTCAGTCTTTTCTTGAGGCTAAATATTCCCAGTTCTTTCAATCTCTCCTCACAGGGCTTTGCTTCCAGTTCCTGGTTCATTCTTGTTGCCCTCCCCTGAACCCTTCCCAGCTTGTCTGTGTCTTTCTTCAACGGTGGTGCCCAGAAGTGTACACTGTACTCCAGATGAGGCCTAACCAGTGCTGAGTAAAAGGCAACTACTATTTCTCATGATTTCCATGTAATATTTCTAATAATGCATCCCAAAATAGCATTTGCCCTTTTTGTGACCGCATTGCATTGTTGGCTCATATTTAGCCTCCTGTCTACAATCGCTCCAAGGTCTGTTTCTCTACTAGCAAGCCATGTATTCTCCATCTTGTATTGATGCATCTGGTTTCTTTTTCCTTGGTGGAGGACTTGGCACTTGTCCTTACTGAATCTCATTCTCTTGCTTTCAGGACAGCATTCGAGATCATCTAGATCACCCTTCGTTTTCAGTGTCCCCTTTCATTTTTTCCTAGACTGTTCAGCAGTGACTGGTTGCCAACCTCACTTTCACATTACAATCGGTCACATTGATATAAAAAAGAAACCATTGTTAGCACCAATCCACCGTGTGATAAAAACTTTCCCAGGGTATTGCAGCAATAAAGAATTAGAGAAATGATGTAGGCAAGGCCATAAATCTTGTCAGGGATTAACAATGTGCCCCCTCCCCTCCCCTGTGACTACAGACTATCTGGAAGAAACTGTCAAAAGCAAATACAGAGAATATCTGGCTGAGTCACACGTATTTGTGAGATGTGCCCCGCGGTCATAGAAGGGTATGGGCATGTTTCCCCTGCAGCTGAGGCCGAAAGGTTAATGGTGAGGCCAGCCCAGTGTGGAGGAGCATGAAACAGTCATACATACGAGGGGAAGGCTGGAAGCGAACCCCCTACGTCTACTGAAGCAGCTTCATTTTATTGGGTAAAAAGATGGCCAGGTGAAAGACTGCTGAGAAAGACTGATGAACAGCGCCACCTTCTTCAGAGTAAATTGAGAGATTCTGTACCCCGCACCGTGGCCATCTTTAACCTAGAGGTATCATGTCACAGTGAAGTAGTTTGAAAGAAATCCCTTGGCTCAGTCCAGAATCAGCAGAGGATTTACAATTTTCTGAGATGCTTCTCTTTACCAAAAAAGGAACAGAAGCAGCCACTCACTTCCCTCTTCTAGTTCATAGCATGAGCCTCGATGGGTGTAGCGGACAAGGGCTCACAGGACCAAAGTGCCTGATTAGGAAGGAAGTGGACGCCATCTCCCATGCCCCAGGTGCGTTCCCTCTGAGCGAGCTCCAGTCCTTGCAGCAGTAGGGCTGGTCGGCTGGGGAGAGCGTGGATGTGGGTTCAGACTGCACTATAGCCCACGCTCAGCGGTCGAACATTGTTTGTTGCTGAACCGTAGATATTGTGCTCTGTGAATTCACTTCAGAATTTCCCGCTATTTCCCGCTATGCTGCTGAGCTACACACGTTGTCCTTCTTGGTCCTAAGGCCAGCAAGTATCCATCCTGAGCAGAGGTTGAGGTAAGTTTATTTCTCCTTTTGGTTACATCTGACAAATGGTCTGCTGTCAAATGTAAACAATGTGAACTAAGGCAAGTGAACTAAATTCACCAAAAAGGGGGTGCTCATTCATGCGCTCTCCTTATGTACATCCGCAGGATTTTGGGAGGACCTCATTGTATTCTCACTTTTGCACTTATTCCTAAATTTTTGCAGGTCTGTCTGTCTGTCTGTCTAGGATTCAGGAACCAATGACTCTCTCTCTCTCTGTTTCTCCTGAAAATCTGAAAATTATTAGTAAGATTTTTTAAAAAATATTGGCCAACCATGGGCTAACCACCTGGGCACTCCAAAGGAACTATCTGTAGCTGTCAAAACAGGGACTGGAAAAAGTAGCTGATTAGACAGCTGGCTTTCAAAAACTCAAAAGAATAGTAATTAAAAAAAAAGTTGTGAGACATGGCAAGTCTGAACCAGCTTGCAACCCCAGTGAGGAGGGAAGGCAGTCAATTCCAGCTGTCCCCGAATGCCAGTTGGACACTTTTGGGGTAAAGGTGCTACTAATTGCCCAGAAGTTACTTGGCAAAAGTAACAAGGCCATTTTTGGCAGTGCTTTCCAAAACAGTCAGTAACTGATCCCCATTTCCCTGATGGGATCCATCACCTGGGTTTGGCTAACGCGACAACTCATCACAAGTCCAAAAACCATGACAACAGCCCGTGACTTGTTGCCTGTGAACGGGTCACACTGGGGAAACCAGCCCAGGTTCGCGCTGCACTGCAGCCCATCAGGTGTTGCGTCGCTGGAATCCACCCACCGTGTCCAGGCCCTAGGAAAGGAGAGCCCCAGGCTGGCTTTCGCTCTCTGGCAACCTGGTGCTCTCAGGGACGTCTCACGAGCACTTTTGTATTGGCAGCAGTGCTGACAACCTCCGTCGCCTTGGAGTTTAGCTCCACTTTGCTCAGTGGCTGGGAGGAAATGGATTTGCAGAGCAATGCATCGTTTCCTGTTGCAATGCAAAGCATTTTGTGGCGGCTTGAATGTGCAGTCCCAGTCCATGAGCTTACAAAGGCGCAGTCCAAGTGGAGATAAATCTGCGAAAATGAACGGGTTGCTCTGGCTCACATCCCCTGCAATTTCAGATTCTCCTTGGGAGTTGGAGGAGGAGCAGCAGAGCTCCAAAATTTAGCACACAGCTGCCTCAGGACCGGCTGTGCTGCTCCCTCTTCTGGAACCAGTTGATTACAGCTACTGCCACTGATCAGAGCCAGGTTGCCTCTGTAGCCCAGTTGCCACCCAGGGCTTTGGAACCTGTAGCCCCGTTGCTACCCAGGGCTTTCTTGGCCAGGAACTGCACACCCAGAAAATTGCTCCCCTGACCATACAAGCAGCACAGTCATGAAAGATAGAACCCCGCTTAGCATCCCTTTTCACAAGCGGGTGACTCTATTTACTGATGTCTCCGTACAAGTGGGTTCTTCTTTCTTCAGATTGGTTGTTGGCAAGTTTTCAGTAGCCTTTGCCCCTTCGCTGTCCTGTCTGAATCGATTCCTAATTAGAATGCAGAGAATGATGTAGAGGAGGCTGCATCCAAATTTGAGTGAAAGGTTGAGTCCAAGATAGATGTTTCTAGGATAGAAAAGACAATGAGAACAGCTTGGCTGCAATGGAAGTTGAGGGATGAGTCTATTCCAAGGTACAGGAAGGGTAGGTGGTACAGTCCTTTCTGGACTATTCCAATTTGTACTGCAGGTTAGGCATTGCGTATCTGAATGTGCAAAATGAATGAATGAATGAATGAATGAATGAATGAATGAATGAATGAATACTTCCCCAGATTAAAGTGTAAATAAAAGCTAGGAAGGATTTTAGAATATTGTCAGACATATTTGTTCTCCAGACACTGGTTGTAACTTTTCACTTGATGGGCAATACTGGAGAATAGCTTCCATCTGAGCATGACCGATTTGGAATGTATTTTCAGTGTGACAGCCAAAAGCAGGCTGACTTGAGGGAGGGGGTTTTGGCTTCCACAAAATTGCCTAAAGATTTCTACATATTTGGAGCTGAGAACTGCATAACTCTGGTCCAATTTGTGCCAATTGCATAAATTGGGGGAAATTGCACACAACTGGGGCTGATTTGTTAGAGTCAAATTGTTTTTCATGTTGTAGCATTTAACAAGAGAAGAATGAAAGCATCCTTCTCACTCAACCTATGCACATCTTCCACCTTGGTCAACTTGAATTTCTGGCAGTTAAATTTGGATTTGTGCAATAGCATCCATTGCCCTGGCTTAAAAAAAATGCAATTCACAGCCCATTTAGTCTGTACGTTGGCTAACTTGCATCAAATAAAGTTGGATAAACACAGGGGTTGCATGAATAAAATCTGCAGGACTGAGTTGAGAAAGACTTTCGGACTTTCATCCCACTATTGATTTCTATAGGCTGTACCATGTGTGTTTGAATCAGCTGCATACAGTATGACTTTATTAAGTTTCAGTCTGGCACCATCTCTGTTGTCTTTTCAGTGCCAAGCAAAAACTGCTCTCTTCCTTAAGGCATTCAAGGGTATTTGATGGCATGATGGGACATTTAGACCAGTGGTTTTTAACAGGTGTAGTTTTTTTTTTTTTTAAACCAAAACTGTTTTATCTGTTAAAACTTTAAGGGTGTACAGTGGAAACGTTTTATACTGTCTTTAATGTGTCAGTGGCCTCTGTTTTTATGAATAATTGTAAACCACACAGGACCCTTTGGCTGTAATAAATGAGGCATGAAATAGACAGCTTTTTACCTAGCCAAACAAAAGGCAAGTCCATGACACACAACTAGGCCTTGGACCACAGCGATGTTTCTCCATTGATGCTCACCTGAACGCTCGTGTATTGTAAACCCTGCAAGATCCCGATCCGCCACAGGTTTTCACGCCCCATTTCAAGCAGGTTGTATCAATCAAAGCTCCAAAATAAATAGGAGCCGGGAGTCCTCCTACAGGAAAGACCCAGCAATGAAGTGAGATTAACAACTATCATGTCAGCAGTTTGTCACAAATAAAGGGATTCCCTTGTGGAATAGTCACTCGGCAAAACAAATTTGCTTTGATGGGTAGAAAAATACCCTCAGCTCCAAAAAATTGGTTCATAGTGATGAAAGCTTTACCTAAAATCAGTGTTTTTTTTTGTCATAGAACGCATCGGAACAGAGTTCCGGCACCTTTTTCGACAGATTTTCCAAGTTTTAAAAGTAACTTTTGAAAATTTGATGTTTGGTCCACGTGGATTCGAATCGCCCTGTTTAGCGTAGCAGGTTGGCGGCAAAATCATTAAAACGGTGCGTGCGGGCTGCTTGTGTGTCGAATCCGATGCATGCGGTCTTCGTCCGCACTGGTTGTGATGGCGCTGCTCGGCTTGTGGTGCTGCTCGGCTTGTGATTGGTCGTGTGGTCGCGCGCTGAGTGCTTACTGTGGGCGGCGACCGTTCTGCTTCGTTACACAACTGACGTGTGTGGGTGTGTGTACAGTGACTGACTACATGCGAAAGGTAAATACATTCATGACTCCTGGCACCTTTTTTCTTACCAAAACAGCACTGCCTAAAATCTTACCGTGACAATTTATGATGCTTTTCTAATTTTTGAGTTTGTATCTTCTGGCACTAGAGACACATATTTGGTTGAGAGGGTACTTTGGTTTGGTTGAGGGGGTACTTTATCACCCCAGGATACATTAGCAAAGGGCTTGGGGTAGTAAATAATTACACCTGTGCAAATTTTTCTTCAACTACTCCATGAGGCATTCAAAACTAACCAAACAAAATATGGGAATCACTTACCTAGTATCCTTCCACACAACGTTTCGATGCCAACAGCAAAAGATTTTAACTCAGGTGAAACTGACCTGAAATACAGAAAGAAGCAGATAAAAAAAATCAGTTGATATGAATAGGGTATATTTGGCTACAAAGGGTGCTGTCCCAAAACATTAAAGTGATGGAATGTCATAATTGGCTCAGAAGAATACGGATTGCACAATCTGCCCACAAGATGCAGAGATAAAACCAACTTGGATTACAGAATTGTAAACTTCTCTAGGAAATGTATCCAGGAAGGGTAGGTGCAATAGGTGTATTGTGCCCACTGGGTTTTCATTCATGAACATCCAGATCTTTGGTGAAGCATCACTGATCTTGAGAAATGGATTTGTATGAACCTAGACATGTGTATTTTGCAATTCAGGACCAGCCTGCAAAAGCAACCATTGCAATGAAGACTTAATAGAATTTGGTTGCAGAGCACTTCGGTCACCCCAAACTTTATGGTTAAGAACCAAAATAGATTAAGGTGTGCTTACCTGAACATAATCATGTATGTGGGTGTTGCTCCCAAGGATACAGTAAATGCTAACGTGGCCAGCAAAGCTAAAAAATAAGGAAATGTTTTAGTACATTTATCCCTTGGACACTGACCCAAAACAGTAGAAAAATTTCCAGGTCCTGAAAGTCCCACGCAACTGCAGTTGTGAAAAACCTGGAAGACAGAAGAAGACATGAAGGGTTGTTGTTGTTGTTGTTGTTGTTGTTGTTGTTATTACAGCATTTCTATGCCGCCCCTTGCCGAAGCCTCGGAGCGGCTTACAACATGAGCTTTATATCTTCAAGTAGCTAGATGCACATTGCAAACAAACAATATTGTTGAATGAACTATAGGAAACTCTCATGATTTCCAGAAGAATCCTTATGTTTACAAGTGTCTGTCCTTATTTGGATACTACCATAAAGATGTAGCTTTGGGAGTTGGACGTGGTCTTTCTGGGGTAGGCAACAAAGATTTGATGGGAATGACACCAAAGTCGTTCTCAGTCCCTTCTCTTTTCTCGGGGTCTTTGCGGCTGCAGCACTGGACATGATTGGCTGCCTGTTGAGGCCCAAGATCCAGTGGGAGCCAATGGGCAATTCCTGGACACTCCAAGACAAGTCACCACACACCTTGCCTTCTCCTTCAGGGACGTGGTGCCAGATGGATTCGCTTGGAGAGGCAGGTCTTGCGTAATGACGCAAGCATGGAGGAGGCGTTGCACACACTTGGGATAGGGGCTTCAGTGTGGTCATTTTGCCCAGACCCCACTCCAGCCCGGAACTGGCACTGGATGTGCTCTGACCTGTAGCTGAAGAATGAAGTAAAAATGAGCAAGGGCGGGAGGAAGAAGCGTCTGTGTGGGACACATAAGCAGAGTTGCACTCATGCCTCGCCAGTGGACTTCCCATAGGCATTGGATTGGGTCCTGTTGGCTACCCCAGGACTACACAGAAGTTTGGTCTGGTCCCGTATGGTTCTTCACTCGTTCTGAGGGTGCTGGTTGCTTGCCCAGCTGTTCTTTGCTGAGCACCAGGTGCATGTGCACACAAACACAGAGCAAAACCACAAGCACAAAAACGCTTAGCCTTGGTGGACCCATGGGTTGCCTACCCAGGCCGTGGGACAAGAGCTAAACCAAAGAAAGCCGTGCTACTAATGAGATGATTCCCCTCGCCCATTGCTTGATTAGGGACAGCCCAAGAGCTGTGAGCCAACAACAACTGGAGGGAGTAATTTTGACCGGAAACAAATACGAACCCACAGACCAGGATGGAGCACATCCCAGACCTGGGCACTGTGGCTGTTTTCCTCTTTCAAATAAAACAGGCTGTCTAAGCATGGTTTAGCATCTCTCAACCCAACCTACCTTACAGGGTTGTTGTGAGGGGAAGATGGTGGGAGAGCACCCATGTCTATAAAAGGGGATAGATTGTGCCACTGATATTTTATTGGCCCTTTAGTCACAGGTAACTAGACTGCAAGTGATCTCTATTACAGTGTTTTAATTGGGAATAAACAAATTGCCGTTATCTCATTTTGGAAGACTTGGTTTTGATTCTTCCCAAGCTCTGAACATTTTCTATAGTATACAGGACATCTGTATGCATTTTGTATGAATTTTTATCTACTATGCACGAGAGATGCATGAGGAATCTCAAATCTCTTTTGCATGTCTGGTGGATTCCCTGGGCTTGGCTCACTGGACTCCGGGCCACTTTGCTACAGCCTAGAGCACAAGTGGCTGGTGAATATACCCCGTGTCCAGGGAGCGCTCAGCAGGAATCGAGCCCTGTGTGCTCTGCAGGCAACATTCCTCTTCTGTGCCACACGAAGCAAGCTTTGTCTGCACTGCTGCAGCCGTGCCGGTCGCACGGCCTGTGTTCTGTGAATGTTTGTGGACTTCCGCTCAGCTTGATCACTCCCTAAGACTGGGCCAAGCACAAGATGAAGTTTGTGGATGCTAGAGGGGTGGATTCTGCTAAGTTTTGTCCCAATCCTGATATACACAATACTTGCAAGATGACACCCTAATCCCATGTACATTAAAAGATCTAATGCATGCAAGGTCAATGTGTTTACTTAGCGAATGCCATTGCAAAATTGGGAAAAGTGCCAATTTTGAAGAGTAGCTATCTGTTAGTTTACACAGCAGTTCAAAAGTGAGAAGTAAGAATTCACATTAAAGTGTGAGTGAAAGGTCTACGTTTACCATATCCTTTCCACTTCCCGTTGAAGTTCTGCAACCTGCCAAGCAGGCACTGATGTAAGTGATGCCATTACTTCCACAAACAGGATCCCAGTAGCCTTCCTCACAGCTGCAGTCAGCGTTGCAGGCAGACACCAAATTTTCCTTTGAGAAGGACGGTTCTTTTATGCTAAAAAGAACAGAAATGAGGCTCTTACAACAGTAGATCCAGGAAGGACTCCAAGAGCAACTGCATTCTCCAAGTGCCCGTCTTAATGTACCCAAACTGGCACCATTTGTACATAAATGTGGGGTTCACTGTACATAAGAATGAGGTTCTTGAAGGAACCCCCAAGTCTTGGAGAACGTGCTGGGCCTTTGGAGCTGGGTTTACAAATAGTCCCATGTCCCGCCCCGTATGACATGGTCCTCAAACTACTGCCCACAGGCCGGATCCAGCCCGCCATATCCATTTATCTGACCCGCCACAGAGGTTTTCGACTCGCTGCGCCCATGCTCACCGTGCCTGCGCCCACGCATGCATCTGCCGCCGCCTGCCTCGCCCTGCACACAAGGAAGCGGCACCTCGTTTGCGTGGAAATCTTTTGGGACTCGCTCAGAGAAAACAATCTCCAAGCAGGCAAGCCGCTGCCTCGCGCACCCCTTGCCACACGTGCGTGCGCGCACCTCGCCTCCCCTTGCCGCCCCCGCCTGTGCCTCGCCTCCCCTCCCCTCGCCGTGCCCCCACCCACTCCCTGGCCTGGGCGCGCCACCAGCACCACCTTTCTGGCCCATGCCCAGCACCTGCACCTTTCAACTGGCCCCTGGTGAAAAAGTTTGAAGACCCCTGGCATAAGATGTCAGGTGAGCTTAGGATTACACCCAAAGACAGTTTAAATACGCCATTAACCCAGAAAGGCAGGTGGATAAAATCTCAACGGTTCAAAGAAAACCTTCCCTGTTCCAAGATCTGGTATCTATATGATAATAGTGTACCGTATACCCCTGTGAAGTTGCGGTTCAGCGTTTGCGGCTCAGTCTTTCACAAAATTTTCTGTGCGGTGGCTTGCTCGCAAGGAGATCGTTTTCTCCAAACGAGTGGAAACCAATCTCCTGCTTGCAAGGAGATCGGTTTGGACTCGCTTGGAGAAAACAATCTCTGCGTACGCCACCCTTGCCCCTGCCTCACCATGTGCATGCCCCTGCCCCCTAGCCCGGGCCGCACCCCCCACCCACACCACCTTGGCAGCTGGTGCCCATTGCCGGCACCAAATTTGCGGTTTTTCACAATTCACAGGTGCTTTAGGAGCGCGACCCCCACGAATTTCAGGGGACTACTGTAATCGAAATTAGTCTGTCTGGGAAAAGCATTCCAAAGTTGAGGTGCCACAATCGAAATCTGATGGTGGGTGGTCCGTTTGTCAATGTTATATCGTACCATGCGGTGATCATAGTGCTTAAAGCAGCCTAAATCACAGATTCACTTAGGGAGGCGGACCAACGGTGGCATTTTGCCCAGGGGCCCTCCCGTTCCCCTGACACACGCCCGGTATGGTCCCGCAGCCTGGCACCTAATCTAACTCCAAATCTGAAATCTAAAAAATGCAGGAAAAGAAAAAATGGCTCCCACCCATAATCACTGGTCTACAAATTATTGACCTCTGAGATAAAATGTTCTAATTCTTACATATTTTGTTTAGATGAATTAGGAAACAGGTGATAAAGGTGCTGGTTGGCTAAAGATATTTCACAATAAAGATTTATACACAGGCGAGTATATTTCCCTACAAAGGAGGGAGGTTTCTGATGATCATGATGCCTCGTAACTTCTCAGCAAAGTATGGTAGAACAATGAAAATGGTACCATATGGAAGTGTATAAATTTATCTTCACTTTGAGACTTAAGATTACTGCCTAACTGTGATTTATTGTTCTTTTATTGCAAGGTACATTTTGTCTTGGTCAGATCTACGCGTCATCTGGTGGCTTGTGAAAGTGTCATTGTCTCACATCTCCAGGGCATCATGATCATCAGATATGCGTAGCAGTGATTTGCCTGCAGTGAATTCTTACCATCCTACCCTGTGTTCATGGGATGTTGTAGCAAAGTGCATGCCAAATGAGCAATCTTTTTGTACAGTTGGGGTTGTCTGCACTGGTTTGTCCATCCATTCATGCATTTAATGCAGTTATACGATTTGGAAAGTGCCTTCCCCTGGTCCCCAAAATCAGCAAGATAACGAACCCAGAGTAGTTGACAGTCAATCCAGCCACCTGAAGCACTTCACAGTCAGACAGAAAGTAAAGCAGGCTTAACAAGAAGTAGGTCGTTAAGGTGATGCACCCAAACTTTGCCATTGTTGTGGTGTGCAGCTTGAACTTTTTGATGATAAAACCTCCGAGGAACATCCCCACAACGGTGATGGGTAGAAAAATCACACCTGCAAAGGAAAGGAAACATTGATATAGTCTCATATGTCGTTACTCATGATAGACACAACCAATCTTTTTCATAGCAAAGAATGAATCAGGCTGGTGAAATTTGGTTCTGCCCAGAAACGCATTCCCTCATGGGTAAATTGTCTGGGTTCTCTCACTTTCTCTCTTGTTGATGGGTTCAGACAACCCACACTTAAGAGCTGAGAACCAGTTATCTATGGGTTTGTTTGTTTATTTATTTATTTATTAAAACATTTTTATGCCGCCCCATTCGCCGAAGCCTCGGGGCGGCTTACAACAATAAATTAAAACATCATAAATAACATTTTAAAATATATACATTAAAATAAAATACAAATATACAATATAAAATAAGCTGCCCTGGCCAGATAAAATTCAATAATATTAACATTTAAAATGCTGCTTAAATAAAAAGGTCTTCGCCTGGCACTGAAAAACAAATAACGACGGCGCCAGGCGGACCTCTCTGGGGAGCGCATTCCATAGATTGGGCGCCACCCCTGAGAAAGTCCTCCTCCAAGTAACCACCCTCCTAATTTCTTTCACGGAGGGCTCCCGGAGAAGGGCCTCTCCCGCCGATCTCAGGGGGCAGCTGGGCATATATGGATGTAAGCGCTCCTTCAGGTAGCCAGGACCCAAGCCGTTTAGGGCTTTATAGGTCATCACCAACACCTTGAATTGGGCCCGGACTTCAATGGGAAGCCAGTGCAGCTGATGGAGAACTGGAGTCATGTGAACATAACACCCAGTCCCCGTCAGCAGCCTGGCAGCTCTATTTTGCACCAATTGAAGTTGTCATTGAACTATGTGTTGTTGCTGAAACACAGGTTATGGTGTTGTCTGAACCCAGCTGTACCATTAGAACATGGTTTATTAACCATGAAGAACCCATGAAAAGAATTTTTGGTATGGTTTCTGGCTGTGAATTGTGGGTTTTTCGTGATTAATTAACCCACATTTCAAGAACAAAATTTCAAGAACAGTCCACACTCAGTTCTCAAATATGGTTGTCTGAACCCAGACAATTTACCCAATTTACTCTCTCTTTTGGATGCCTCCTTGACTCTCCCCCCTCAATCTTCCCAGCATCCTGCAGACTTCTATGAAGGGGATTGACCTCTCTTGTCAGAAGTCTGACCTGATTGCTTGCTTGGAATTAGGCCTTTTAATAAATTTGAATCACAGCTTTTGGAATTCATGGAGGTCCTCAGGTTGCCCATGCTTCTGCTATCCCATGATACCTATTCTTTGTAACTACTAATTTGTCAAGTTGAGGGCCAAGCCAGAAATTTTGATCAGGAGGATACTGAAGAGCCATTTGTAAAAAGCTATTTGGCAGATCTGCCTGTACACACATACACGCACACACACTATTCATACTTTATAAATACTTTATAAATCCAGAATGCTTAAAAGCAATTTAAGATAAAAACATGAAAAAACCAGGCTGGCATGGTGTAGGTGTGACTGGGTGGAGAGTGAGGAGGCGGGAATCTTCCTGCTAGCCACTAACCGCCAGACCAGTTTTGACCCATGCGTGCAGAGTCACTGGTAGAGACAGATCAGGGCCCGCAGGATGGCCTGCCAGTATGGGCGCTGATGGAGATGATCTCATCCAGCCCTTCCCTGGGGTTCATCTGTTCCCTCTGAGTGTAGCTCATAGGAGCTGGTGGGAGGACAATGTATTGTTTCAGGCTCAGCCAATTGTAATGCCAAGTGCTTGGGTTTCCTTCATCCTGGATGGGCAATTTATTGATTGATTGATTGATTGATTGATTTATATCCTGCCTTTTTCCTACAGAGCGCTCAAGGCAGCTTACATCTCCTCCATCTTAATCCCACAACCCTGTGAGGTAGGTTGGGCTGAGAGTCTGTGACTGGCCCAAAGTCACCCAGTTGGCTCCATGGCCGAGCGGGGACTCGAACCCAGATCGTCTGAGTCCCAGTCCCAGGCTCTTAACCACTACACCACACTGGCTCTTAGGACCTATTTGCTTTGCAGGTGCCTTGCTCTGGGTGGAACCCCTGGGATATTTATTCCTGCACTGCTTTTCACAATGCATGCTGTTATTGTTACTGTCAAGCTCTGCTCTCCTCATGATGTCGCTCTACTCTTGTGCAGAACGCCTGCTCTATCCAACCACCCCTCCATCACCACAAAGTATGTGATATTGGCTTGATCTTGAAGGGGCAGCCAAGGTCTATCAAAGCTCTGCTGCTACTGGAGAGGAAAACTACTAGAAACGGTGCATTAATTTGGATCAACACAGCCTAAATTTTTGTATTTTCTTTGGGGGCATGGCTTTGGAGATGCTCATGAGACGTGCCTATATTCAAGCTTCACCATTACACCTCTGATCCCCAAATTCTATCAGTCATGGATACAATCCAGAGTTAGTTCTATGTGGAGAAAACCCCAATCATTTCACTCAGCCTACACTGGAGTGCCACTGGATCAAATCCCTCGTACTTTGGCATGTCAGGAACCTTCCCACCGCCCCTTCTTTTTATAGTAGTGGAACAAGCAGGAAAAAGGAGACACACTGTGAACATGGTGGGTAGCCATACATGGCTAGTGTGAGCTGCATTTGGCTGGCCTGAGGTCAGGAGTTGCTGGGAGTGGAACCAAGGCATTTGCCTAGAGCACGAGCCACCAGACTGAAGCCTGATCCTGTGCTTTAAGGCACTGGGATGATGGCATCTGCCTAGGCTGGCCAAGAGATCTTCTCACTAGGAAGGTCTATGAAGACCTCCTGTTCAAGCTGGGGCTTCCTGTTTCAGCTAAGACTTTTTGTGGACAATTACAGCGATGATTTTGCTGTGATCCATGGATTAGATCCTGTTTCCTGGATCCCACTCAACGGTTTGTTTGTTTGTTTATTTATTTTCCGATTTATATCCTGCCTTTTTCCTACAAAGGGCTCAAGGCGGCTTACATCATTCTCCTCCTCCATCTTATCCCCACAACAACAACAACCCTGTGAGGTAGGTTGGGCTGAGAGTCTGTGACTGGCCCAAAGTCACCCAGTTGGCTCTATGGCTGAGCAGGGACTCGAACCCAGATCGCCTGAGTCCCAGTCCCATGCTCTTAACCACTGCACCACACTGTTTCCTTGGTTCAGCTCAAATACCTAGTCTTCCTTAACCTGGTGCGCTCCACGTTGTACTGTTCCTCCCATCATCCGTAGCCGGTGATATATCTTTGAATGGGCACCTACCTCCACCAGCTAGCTGAACCAAAAAATACTGAAGAAGATACATACCAATAAGAAAGGTGGCTCTTGAAATAGATATGTTAAACTGCTGTTCCATAAACTTCGGCTCATAAGTTATTACGCCAACGATAGAATTGTAGTGTAGGATTGTGGCGAACAAATAGACTAGAAAGATGGAGTTTCCAAGTAGTTTCTTCAACACAGGGAAAAATTCTGGAATGGAAAAATTTTTATTGCATCCTTTCAGAATAAAAGCATAAGCAGGTGCATTAAGAGAGGCCAGGGTTTTTAATTCATCCTCTCGTGGTACCAAAATTCAGTATTGATTCTGTCTAGAGGAGAAGCAGATTTATATTGCCATAATTTGAATAGTTTGATCACATTTATACTTTATGGGAACCTAACTAAGATCCTGAGAGGAGGGGAGGGGTATGCAATGGAAAGTTTGATGGGAGAGAGAGGGGAGGAATGAATCTGAATTATTATGCCAGTACACAGGTTATTATCTAAAATCCATTGATGGGTGTTATGGTTTATGTGGCCCCACGGCCAGGAGCACTCAAGTCCTTGAGAGAGATTTCAGGACCAGAGTAAGTCAGGATGATCTGAAGGAAACGTAAGTTTTAAAAAGATGCCGACAAGCTGGAAAGGGTTCAGAGGAGGGCAACAAGGATGATGCAGGGACTGGAAACAAAGCCCTGTGAGGAGAGATGGAGAGAACTGGGCATGTTTAGCCTGGAGAAGAGAAGACGGGGGTAAATAGGATCGCCCTCTACAAGTCCTTGGAAGGCTGTCACAGAGAGGAGGGCCAAGATCTCTTCTTGATCATCCCACAGTGCAGGACTTGTGTTCAAGTTACAGGAAGCCAGGTTCCAACTGAACGTCAAGAAAAGCTTCCTGGCTGTTAGAGCAGGACAACAATGAAACCCATGACCTAGGGAGGTGGTGGGCTCCCCCACTCTGGAGGCATTCAGGATGCAGCTGGACAGCCATCTGAGAGGGATGGTTTAACTGGGAGTCCTCCACTGAGCAGTGAGTTGGACCCAATGGCCCTCTGGCCCCTTCCGGCTCTGCTATTCCATGATTCTATGACCCACCACCAAGCCCTGGGCCTCTATGGTCCCTCTTTAGACTTCAGCAGCTAAGGACCTGAGAGGCGGAACCTCTCTGCTTCTTTGCAGATCAGCTTCGGCTCACTGCCCCATTGTCCACCTTCTTCTGCAACTCCACTCAGCTGGACTACGGGACAGGACTACAGATCTCTTAGCTGCTGCCTGGAAGCTCCTGCAGCATCATGCCTATGGACTTGCTCCTATTTCCAGCAAAGCATCTGGACAGCTTTTTCCTACTAATCAGCTGCCACTGAGTCCCTCAGGCAGAAAGTGAGCACAACAGTCCCTCTGCCCAAGCCGCCCAGCAACTGGTGCACAGAATCATTCTGCCTCTGGTACTGGATATCACACACACCCATCACACCTAGCAGTCCCCAACAGCCTTCTCCTGCATGTGTTTTTGCAGTCCTCTTCTGAAGCCACCCAGATTCCATACATCTTATGGAAGTTAATGTCATCACTACTGAAAAAGGTTGCTTAAGCATGAGAACAGGAGAGCTCTGACGGGTCCATCGAGTCCAGCCTGTGGCCGATGAGGAACCCTCAAGGAGGACGTGAGCGCAAGAGCATCTTTCCTCTTGTCTTCCTCAGCAAAAGGCTTCCCAGCTCTGATACTGATGGCAGCACCAGCCATCAAGACTAGGAGCCATGGATAGTCCTTCCTCTTGTGGTCGGCAGCTGAGCTGCTAGGCTGCTGATCCTTGGGGTTAATCTAGACATGATTTTTAAGGATGAGGTCTCCTCCTCCTCCTCCTCCTGTTCATATTGTTTTCAAAAATGGAGTATGCCTCCTAGTGGGAGAGGAAGAGGAGTAAAGGAGAGACAGAGCAGGCAAAGGGCCCATAAAGGCAGTATATGGACTTTCCCTGCCCCACCAAGCACTTCCAGATGGACTTTCTCTGGGGCAGGAAGCAGTTTTACTTTCTGGCTACACTGTTCTTAATTTATTTATTTATTTTCGATTTATATCCTGCCTTTTTCCTACAAAGGGCTCAAGGCAGTTTACATCATTCTCCTCCTCCTCACAACAACAACCCTGTGAGGTAGGTTGGGCTGAGAGTCTGTGACTGGCCCAAAGTCACCCAGTTGGCCCCATGGCTGAGCGGGGACTAGAACCCAGATCGCCTGAGGCCCAGTCTCGTGCTCTTAACCACTACACCACACTGTTCTTGCTGTGACTATCAAATTTTATGATTCTTACAGGCCACTTTGACGACTCCAGTCAAAAAGTAGGCTCTCTAAACCTGCTATCCAAGCAGATTATACAAAATTGTGTAAAAATAATTTCAAAAAAGCAGCTGCTGAAGGTCCTGTCTACAGACTGCGATCTTAGCGCAAACTGGGAAGTTAATTTATTTGCTTCTTTGTTCATTACAGGTATGTATCACCCAGGAACCAAAGCTCTATGGGAAATTCATAGGAATTAAACCCCTAAATTACAATATGACAAAATATAATCTAAAAGTCTAAAAGTGCTATACAAAATAAGCATAAAAACCAAAATAAAACAGAGAAGCAATGTGAAGATTTAAAATGCAGTAAGATTTAAAACATCAGAAATGGAAAGACTAAAATGTCTAGGAAAGTTTGGACTTCACCCGAGGCTGAAAAGAGGACGACCCAGCCATCTGCAAGATTTTCCCACTCCAAATCACCTCCAAAGTTGCAGTTTGCCTGCTTTATAAGCGATGGCTGCCTGAGTGTTTGTATTCCTAACAGAGAGGGAGACAACATTGTTTCGTGCTGTTTCAGCTTAAGGCTGCAGCCACTTCCAAAATATCCTGTTAAACAGATTTGACGCCAGCAATATTGTAGAATGTGGGCTACCTACCTACCTACCTATTTATCTATCTAAAGCATTTGTATGCTGTCCTATGCACAGCCTCAGGACAGCTCACAACAGTTAAAATTCAATAATAAGCATGAAAACATGCAATCAAACCAATTATTCCAAATTAAAAGAAGAAAAGGAAAAAGGAAAAGAAACAAGATGAGACTGATTAATATTTCTCATTAAAATTATTAATTTAATTATTAAAATACATTACATGCTCTTCTATTACATATTTCAGAATGAAGCCATGTAGGAAAACCAATGCAAAATGGAGCCTGCACTCACCTTTTACTGCTTCTGAGAGTTTCAACTGTGGTGGTTTTGGCAATGCCGCTTTGCTATGGCTATCTTTGGTGATCGTAAATATGTCACTTGACTTCTTAACGTTCTTTCCCTCTCCTTGTTTTGGCAACGAACGCGGCAAGTTCCAGAAAGGAAAGGAGGCCATGAAACTGACCACTCCGCACAGAAGAACGCCCAGCCACCAGGCTCCAACCCAGCGCATATCCTTAGAAGTGATGGTCAATGTACCTGGAGAGAAGCAGCAAGATGGGACATTTTCCTGCTGCTTTACTTTGCCTTAGACATCTCATCAGTATGGTCCACTTCCACCATCTCTAATCTGGTGCCTTTCTCCAGATGTGCTCTACAGGCTGTGGGATTATGGGAATTGTAGTCTAACAAACCTGGAGGACACCAAGAAGTCTGGTCTGGTCAGTAAAACATTTGGTGTGAGCCTGAAAGTTCTAGACTGCAATCTTATCTCAGTCATGGGAATCTCTTGGTGGTTTACTGTACCTGGTATTGTCTGCATGCCTGACTTATCCAACTGTAAAATGGGCTTCATAATTAGGGATGGATAAACAAGCAACGTAATTATTTGCCGAGCATCATTTGGCACTTATAACATGCCTGATATTTCTGACTGTGATGGCTGCTTGTGTCTCACTAGTGGGAAACTTGTATAAATCAAGCACTGAGAAGATGGCAACTTTGAGCAAATTTCCTGGCTGGACATGCACATGGTGGGCATGTCGTGAGCAGAGCCGGCTAGTGCCGGAGGTCAGACTAAATGGCCTGGGAGACCCCTTCTGACTCGCTCTGTTTCTGTGTTTCTATGTTTCCTGGACAGACTAAAACAGGGATGATTTGCTCTACTGAGGAAATGTGCTTAAATTAGGAGATTTGGACAAATCGAACTGGGGACTAGGAATGAAACAACCATGAGTGCATGTATATATTTTCAGTACTGTAAGAGCAAAACGGAAATGAAATTCTTGTTAATTGTGAGTTATAATCAGAGCTTTTTGTATGTTTTGTACAAATGCACCTATTGTCTAAAGAATATTCCTTGCATTTTTAAAAATCTCTGTGTGTTGACAGACACTGTTTTTGTTTCATGGGATGATTTGCAAGCTTGGAAATGTATGGCCTCTGAAAAACAAATTGTGTTTGGGTCTATGTTCTTAGCTCTGGAAGGACTGCATTGAGTATATCCATAAAAAATAACTTCAAATAACCCTTCAGTGAAATTCTCAATCCTCCCTACATGATATATTTGAATGAGATTTACAGAACAATCCTATGGCCTCTAGACTTCATCTGGGGGGGCCATAGGATATTTTAAACTCCTATATCTGAGGATGGAGGGCTGCATTCTCAGAGCTGGGGCTGGACTCTGATGCACCTCTACCCACTTGCAGCCAGCATAGAACTAGCTGCTTCTCTGAGGCCAGAAAACTGACCTTGGAGAGGGGAAAAAGAGGGTGGGGAGGGAATTACACTGGGGCTGCGAGGGAACAAGCATTCTGATGGCACAACAGCCTCCTCCTTCCCCTGTCCATCTGTCTGGCTGGTTTGCAAATCAGGAGGAATGGGGAGGACAAGCCTACCTCCTCCCCTTCTTCTGTCCTGCACCTGAGGCTCATAAACCTCAGAATTCATAGGCTGGTGGACAGTGACCTACTGATTGCCTCCATAGCAGTTAGTACAGAAAGGGCAGGGCAGATAAGGTTGATGCAGAAGGAACACCACGTATCATGGAAGTTATTCATTACCGACATCCACCACTCCAATGTCAACCCAGAGATTAGCACAGAAGGATCCAAGCATGAAGCCAAAGGTTGGTCCAAACAGCCCAGATGCTCGTACCGTCCCTGTAAAAAAATCCCAAACATAAGCACAGCAACCTAATTCGCACTGCAGAACAAGACTTCCAAGGAGATGGGGGAGAATCTTTGGATATTGCAATCTCTACTGCGACCTGGGGGTATTCAGGGCAACACCTGGGACTGGCAGAGAGCACTGCACTGCGATGGGAAGAGGTGCAAAGGCCGGTGTGACCAGGCATGAAGAATGCAGTGGGAGGGAAGAGCCAGCTGCATGGCCAAGCAAGACACCTTTGCACCTGCATTTGCACTGCATTTGCCAGCATGCAGGCAAGCTGTTCTCCCAGCCAGACCAAAGAGCTCCATCCCAGACCTATGCATGTCTATTCAGAAGTAAGACCTGTGGAGTTTGATGGGACCTTCTCCCAGGAAAGGGTGCCTAGAGAGCCTCAGCCATCAGGCAGTAATTCAATGAAACAACAACAATAGCAGCAATAATAAAAGTTTGGGAAATATTGGGGCAATTGCTACATGAAGAAGGCACATCTTTTTTTTTTTTAATTCTGCAGCTTTTATTCTGGTTTGTTTATACAGCTTACAGGAATTTAATTAGTATATTGCATGGGGGAAAAGTAATGCTTTTGTGTGTAACGTTGTTCTAGAAATAAAGGGGCCTGTGGTGGAGTATGCTTTCTGCTTGGGAGGAAAGCTATGGCAAATCTAGGCAGCATACTAAAAAGCAGAGACATCACCCTGCCGACAAAAGTGCATAGAGTGAAGGCTATGGTTTGGACCACAAGGAAGGCTGATCGCCAAAGGATTGAGGCCTTTGAATTGTGGTGCTGGCAGAGACACCTGCGAGTCCCTTGGACCACAAGGCGATCCAACCGGTCAGTCCTAGAGGAGATCAACCCTGACTGCTCTTTAGAAGGCCAGATCCTGAAGGTGAAACTCAAATACTTTGGCCACCTAATGAGAAGGAAGGACTCCCTGGAGAAGACCCTGATGCTGGGAACAATAGATGGCAAAAGGAGAAGGGGGCGGCAGAGGATGAGGTGGCTGGATGGGGTCCCTGGGGCAGTGGGTGTGGGCTTGGGTGGACTCTGAGGGACGGTGGAGGACATGAGAACCCGGAGGAATGTTGCCCAGGGGGTTGCAAAGAGCCGGGCACAACTTTGCAAATGAACAACAGTGGAACAACAACAAAATCAGCAGAATATGACAGTACTTCTCATCGTGCTGTTTTTGCTGCCATGTTCTACTTATTCATATTTTATATTGCGTTATATCTGCATTTTCTTTCTTTCTTTCATTGCCACTTTTATATCCCACCATTACTTCTAAGGAGACCAGCTCAGGGCCTGTGGTTGCCCTCCTCTCCATTTTTGTCCTCACTACAACCCTGTGAGGTAGGCCAGGCTGAGTGACGGTCAGGGTTGACTGGCCCAAGGTTACCCACTGAGCTTCATGGCCATGGAGGGATCTGAACCCAAGTCTCCCCAGTTCTAGTCTGGGGTCTCTCACGGCTACACCATGATGCTCTTTTAATATGAACAGCCAACGTCTTAGGGTGTGATTCACTGTTCCCGTACTGAGAGCATGCATGCATGTCATCTCGGCAGATGTTTGCAGCTCCCTAGATGAAGCACAGAGACAGGAAAGGGATTGAGGCCGGAGTACTTAAGCTCCTTCCCTCGCTGCCCCCTGGCACACCCCTCTACCCCTCTCCGAGGCTGATATATGACCTGGAAGAGTCAGTCGGCACAGGTCTGTCCATGCCGGCTCTGAGCAAGCTCAGGCAGGTGCTGTGCCTGGGACCTCAGAGGCAAGATTCTGAATAATAATTCTCCCTCCCCACAGACACTGTCGGGAGGCCATAGAATCATGCCTGGAGAGATTTTATTATCTGAAGTGGCACAGAAGTATATCGAATGAATAATGAGAAAAATGGCGGATGAAGTGGGGGAAAGGCGGTGCTTTTTCTCCAAGAGTCCTCTCTCGGAAACTGTGTGTTCTGGGGAACAGAAAAAGTGGCTGCTGGGGCTCAGAGTTCTGCCGCTGCTGCCCCCTCCAAAATCGCCCCCATTTCCTCCCCCCAAAATAGTCCTCCAAAAGTTATCAAAATGCCCCCTTTCCACATTTGCAACACTTGTGAATAGGAAGGCCAAAGTGTGTGTGTGTGTGTGGGGGGGCTTTAATTTCAGCATGCGTACAGTCTCTATTTATTCCTTTTGGACGGATTCTTTTCATGGCGTGACCACTCCTAATCCTTGCAAATGAGAGGCAAGATTAAATACACACACCTGTCTGGAACCAGGCAAATGGACCATTTTGATCTTAACAGCCAGGAGCTGCCAGACACCGCAAGCTGGAGAGCGGCTCCTGGACACATTGCAGTGTCCGGAGCCTGACCAGAGCGACGGGCTGTGCCGCCTCATGAGTTTTACCTATATAAAAGGCAGAGTTTTCTTCCGTGGCAAAATCATCAATGTAAGACATTCCGAGAGGCATTATCGGAGCTTCTCCAATTCCACGTAGAAGGTTGCCAGCAAGCACAAAGAGCCACAGGTAAGAACTGGCCATCTTTTCACAATCTGCAAGAAAACGAGGGAGCACAGATTATTTTTATTTTGTTTCTATACAGCCCTGTGGCCAAAGCTCTCTGTGCGGTCGACAACAAGGGATAAAACAAAACAGAGCGCTGACCCAATCTTTCAAACTTCCCTTTTCCCCATCATTGTGGGGCTAAGGGCAGCTTTGGGGGTTAGGGGGCGGGGAGTTGATTAAGGAACAGCATCCAAATTTAGGTGAAAAAGGCCTTCCCAAATGCTGCTCTGGTTGCTTTTGGAATCCCGGCATGCATTTTAAAGTAGTCAGAAACATAAAATGGAGCTCTTAATTGATGTATAGAAACACTTGTGTTCTTCTGCAAGATATTTATGGTGTGCTTGTCATTTCCCACCCATATTTGTTTAAACAAGTAACTGACCTCACTCGTTTGGGGTGAGGTCAGTTTTGCTTCTGTTTTTTTGGAGATGTTTTGTGTTTTCTTTTGTTATGTTATGTTGTTTTGTTAACAGCAGGGAAAATGTGGTATTGGTGACAAAACACACATATATACAGTTGCATAGTTGTGCCATTCTATTATGTCATGGGATGTAACAGGGAAATGGAGAAAGAAAACATGCTTCATTTAGCACTCCAATGTCAGTTTGCAGTGAAGCCGAAAACAGAGGATGTGGATTAACAGCCTAGTCTAGAAAAGCTCCTCGGTGGGGAAACAAAGGCAGTGGGCACCAAGGCCAGGTTTAAGCCAGCTCCTGGGCCTGGTATCTTTAGTCATACAAGAATGTGGGACTGGGACTCAGGAGATCCGGGTTTGAGTCCCCGCTCAGCCATGGAGCCAACTGGGTGACTCTGGGCCAGTCACAGATTCTCAGCCCAGCCTACCTCACAGGGTTGTTGTGGTGAGGATAAGATTGAGAGGAGGAGGAGGAATATGTTAGCCCTTTGAGTTCCTTGAAAGGAAAGAAGGCAGGATATAAATACAACAAACTACAATTAGCAGGAACTGATGTTCCTCTCCACCAATTTTGGAGGGGGTTTTTCAGAAAGGGAATGGATTTTGAGAGGTTGAGTAATTCTTTGGCGGTGGGTGTAAGCAGCAGAAAATCTTGCAGGATTTCCTGCAATCTTATTTTCTCATTCAGGAGGCTGCATTGCAGGAAGAATCGATGCCACAAGAACTGGGGACCATTCATGGTTTGGCTCCATCCCCTTCTTTCCTGAAGGGCCTGGAATGGCATTGTGTATGGAGCTTTCCAGAAAATGAAAATGGCAGTCCCAACCCTCTGGCCATCAAGACAAGCCCAGCAGAGAGAGGGAGAGATAAAGGGGCAGAAGGGATGCTCTGAATGCGCATTTGTCAGTATTCAGCAGCCTGGTTTGGTGGTTTCCTTTACCCCTTCTTGTTACTTCCACACACTTCTGCAAACCTTGGAACTCCTTGAGATCGCTCCTTATTCTTCTCCGGCCCTGCATGGGGCACAGTCCTGCTGGAGCTCACTACCTGCACTAATTATGGGGAGATCGCTTTTGTATGTGTCTAACTCTGCCAGCTCTGGATTCTGGAACGGCCGGGGCTTGCCGTCAGCTGAACCCAGGCACGTGAGAGGGAAAAACAGGGAGAAGCGGGAGTGGCAGCAAGAGCACTGCCAGCTGTGGGGCAGTTCTGCAGCTCCTAAACTTCAGGCCATCCCTGGCTTGTATTCATAGTCCTGCAATGCAAAGTAAAAGAACACCCTTCCTATGAGCTTCCAGCCTTGCACCCCGATGTTTTAAGGGTGTGTTTCCAGGTCTTGTGGCACAAGGGACTAGCTCCGGGAGGATTTGATGTGCAGTGTACTAAAGGATTAAAAAAAGAAATTGGGGTTTGGGGGTTGAGATTGGACTTCTTATGCCAGACATGATGGATGGAGGTCGCCTTTCCCATGCAGCATCAGTATGTTTCCTCCACGCCACCACCTGGAGTAGTTTTGGGGTAATGAGGCAGCAATTTTCACTTGGAAAACTGAACTATGCCCTCTGGCTGAAATTAATTTTGAAGAAAGCTGTGGAAGGTCCACTCATAGATCATTCGACTAAAAGGGTTATGAGTAGTATTGTTACATTTGCACTCTGCCTTTTCTGCTTTTGTGAGGAACTTAAGGTAGCTTACATGGCTCCATTGTTATCCTCACAACAGCCCTGTGAGGTAGGCTTGACTGAAAGGTAGTGGCCTGCCCAAAGTCACCCAAATGGGGACTAGAACCCGTTTCCCACTTTCCCAGTCTAACCCACTCGCCACCATCCCGCAGTGGCTGTCCAATTTCACAGTGATGCTTGACACTTACAGCCAGTTCTTCTGAGCACAACAGTGGCCTATTTGAGAAGGGTTTTTGTTGGCACAGATGAACTGGTCATACTGGAAAATCACAGTATTCAGACTGCCATCTGATCAAGTGCTTAATGAGTTCAGTCAGCATCGCGACCTGCCCAAAGAGTCAGGGCGAGGACAGATTAAAGGACAGATTGCTTTTCTGCTCTGTTGTAAACAGCCCAGAGAGCTTCAGCTATGCATTGTCTCAGAATAAATAAACAATCGGATTCTAAAAAGGCCTTTATCCACTGTTGTGTTGGCCCAGCCACTGCATCGATGTTTTGCTTACCAGAAGTAGTTGCGTTTCCAGAACTTCCCATGTCAATAACTGCATGGTGAGGAGGAGAGGCAGAAGCACACGCCGGAATGCTTTCGGAAGAATTGGCCGCAGCCATCGCAATGCTTTTGTAATTGTAACTTTAAAGCAGCCACGGAGGATGTGTGAAGGAAAAGAGGGAGTTCAAAAATACAGGCAGTGATTCGTTTGTTACAAATCTGAAAACTTGTTAAGGTATTCGGAGCAATAACTAAGGATAAGGTTAATGATGTTACTGGAAGCACAATCTGAGGAATGTCCATGAACTTGCAGGGTAATGGGTAAAGTGTGCAGGGAGAAAGGAACGGCATGGAGGCCAAGTTCTCTCTCCCCAAAGCGCTTAGATGGCCAATTTCAGCCTTCCAGTGTTGCACCTCAGAGTGTGAGGAAAGGGGGCTGAGGAGTTGCCAGGATACATCTCACCATGGCGGGACCTGTCTCTTGCCCTTCCCTTAAACCCCGTATCCGAGGTCACCCTTGAATCTTGGTGGTGCGGCCAACAAAGTTCACTCCTTGCCAGCTGTGTGCCTATGCGTGTCAGCATGCCAAGAAAGTGCTCCAAGTTTGGACAGCCAGCCACAAGGTCAAAGCACTTTTCTGACCTCGTAGTCAGATCTCGCAAAAGTTCATGGCCATCCAGGCTCCATCTAGCGATTACAGGGCTGCCTTGTAAAAGTAACACGACAGTGATAACAGGACGTATATCAATAGGGTTACTGGATTCTGCCTGGTGGCTATTGAATGACCTTTATTATCATGAAATAATAATAATGGTAGCCCAGCCTTTTCCAAAGTGCTCCGAATGCATTTATTCACCCACTGATTCATTTGCTAATTCAGGCATGGACGCATTTCTTGTATCTCTATCCTGCTTTCCCCACAAAAAGCTCAAGTCAGCTTGCCCTTTCTCCCATGTTATCCACCCATCGATCAATCCTGTGGGGAAGGTTTGGCTGAGAGACCATGAAGAGACCAGGTTTGCCTCGCAAGCATGTTTTTCCCTTTTTTCCTTTTTCTTTACTGGATCAATGAGGTTCTGAAACTGAGTCCCTCAATCGTCCGCCAATGTTCTCTCCACCACCACTTTTCATATTCACATTCACCCAACCCTGGAGTTGCTTCAATGAAGAATAAACTGCTACAATTCCCAGCGTGCAGCTCCCAGTAGGATTTTTTTCTGTCTAAAGATCCATAGGATCGTGCCCTAAGTCTTATATTGATAGAGCAGACTAAGAGAAAGGTCTAATTAATGGTGACTCCCCCAAGGCAATCCAGTGAGTCCAAGGCTGAATTTCAGCCCTGGAAATACCTCTTTACTTTCTTCTATTCATATGAATAGGTCTATTTTCTGGAGGGAAAAAATGCAGCTTTGCATCTGCAGTCTGTCTCTCTACTAGCAGTTGCAGGTATCAGATTATACCTAGGATTCAGGGACCAAGAAGTGATCTCTCTCTCTCTCTCTCTCTCTCTCTCACACACACACACACACACACAGCAGAAGTTTTAAAACTTAAAGGATGGCAGTGACTTAGATCCGTTGGTATCCATAAGAGAAATGCATAAATTCCCAATTATGCAAAGAGCCCAAACCAAAGAGAAACGTCATCTGCCATGTATCTGGCTAGACTTACCGCCCCATGATGAAGTGAGGCACCACCATTACAAATGACCCGAGCGACATGACCAGGCACCCAGCAGCAATGACCTTTGGACGATGAACTTTTGGTCCAAGGTAACTCACCAGTATTATCACCAACAAGTTTCCTGCATCACAAGAAAATATGCAAGTGGTGCTAAGGAAAGGGTTTTAAAACTTATCCTTTGCATGGTTTCTTGCACTGCCTAGGGAAACAGGCATACCTATTTCAAAGCTTCCATCAATCAGTCCTACCAGGGATGACGAGATTTCGAATCTCCTTTCAATCTGAGTATACATGCTTTTCATGTAGCTTCCTGCAAATCCTTTGGCAAAAAAAGAAAAGGCCAGCGCTGCAAGGAATATCTAGGATTAAAAAATAAACAAACAAAATAGCAAATTGTCAGAGAAGTGATTGCCAGTCGCAGATTGGTGCAAAGGTCTCAGCTTTCTGTGTTAGGGAAGGTCCTGCATCTTGCTCTTGGCTTGGATTCAGATGTGGTCTTATTTAGAGGAGACCCACTGAAATTAAAGGGACTTATCATAACTAAGAGATGCCCCGATACTTTATGTGGGTCAATGATTATGTTTGGGTCCAGACCATGATGATAGTCTCATTAATATTATGAATTAGTGTCTTTTAGAAAATTCCTGCCCACCATTCCAATGCATCTACAAGAATCAGGGCAGCTTACAAAAATTACATGCTGGAAAAGAGTCACATATATTTAAAAAAAAACCCTGCCAAATTAGTATGGAAACAGGCTCAAGAGATGAAGCAAACTTTCTAAAATGAGTATCTCCCAGATAAAAATTGCCTGCGCATCAAGAGAAATGCTGGCTGGAACAAAGCTTGTGGGTAAAATCCTGTGCATCTTTAGACAGAAACACAGGATAGCTGTCTGGGGCACGAAGAGAATTACAGAGCTTTTCCTGTCTAAATTCATATAGGATAACACCTTGTATCACTGTCTCTCCTGCCTCCCAGCCTGCGATGGTTTCAGGGAATAGGCTGATAGATCTCACAGGGCAAGGCACAGAAGATAAGATACCCAAGTCACGAGGCACTCACAGAACTTGGGTGAGTGAACTAAAGTGGACTGGAACGGAACATTTTCAGGCACAAAACGTTTCACTCTGGAAATGACAGATTAAGAAGAAGTAAAGTGACAGTAAAGGCTACAATGCAATCTAATATGAAGATGAATTCTTGGTAAACCTATCGGTGCGACCATTGTTCAGGTCTGCACTCCACCAACATATTCCAAAGAAGTAATTCAAAACTGTGCAGCTCTGCATGAGGAAATTGATAGCACACGAAAACAAGGCATGTTGATGATCATACGTGTCTAGAATACAGGAAACAAAGCAGAACCGAGTGTCGGGAAAGAATCTGGCCAGAGATGAAGCAGGAGAAGGACTCCAAGAATTCTGAGAAGCCAACTAGCTGCTTATTGCCAATACATTTTTCAGGCAATTGATCAGGCAAATGTACACATGGACATTACCAGACGGCCATGGTAGAAATCAAATAAATTATATAATTGGAAGGAAAAGATGGATGCACTCCACACCTACATTAAGAATGCTGATAGACTAAGATAGGAACATACTCTCTGGCCAGGAAAAATAAAGAGCAGGTGAAGGCAGAACTTTATAGAAGATATGAAAAGATGACAGGCTTCTTCAAAGAAAAATCTTTGAATCTTTGCACTCTCAGAAAGGAAATCAGTTCAAATCCTAATGTGAATATGTCAACAAATATGGAAAACAAAGCAATGAAAATACAGAAGAGAGCAAAACGGATAACTGGAAGAGTGAAAATAAACTTGTGTTTAATAGGCAACAGAACCCTTGGCCAGAATGTCAGAAACAGATGGAAATATTTATTTATTTACTTATTTAATGCTATCAGCATCTGAGATCCATAGATAAATCACAGATAAGTCTCTGGCCCCCAGGAGCTTGCAATCTAGAAAAGTGCAGAGGAGGAAAGACAGAGCAAAGGTAGGAAATGTGCTTTTGAATTTGAATAACCAGAATGTTTTGGGCATGTGTTGCAGAGCAAATAACATGGAGCAAAGGAACAAGGACAGTTTCTACCTTTAGCTTTGAAACCAAGAAACACGTTCTCTTCACAGGAGTTAACCCTGGGCTTTTGTCCAAGGATGATGGGCTCTCTTTAGCCGGCTGTGGGGTCTTTTCTCCATCCATGGCTTAGGTCTTGGAGCTCAGGGCCACAACTCTTTCTGTTTGGGGGAAAATAGCAATGACATTGTTGTGCCAGTTATTGTCTTCAGTCACACAGATTTCCGTGGCTTCTGTTTAGGATGCTAAATGGGGAACAACAACTACAGGCATAATCATATACATGTGTAGACAATGAAATTGCTGTAGTCCATGGTGATATACTTCCTATACTGGACACCAAATATGAACTTCATAACAGAATTGCAATTTTCCAGGGACTAATCACTTCTGGGGAGAGGGGACTTATTTATTTATTTAACAAGCCACTTTTTCCTTTCCAAGGGGGCCTACATAATTCTCCTCCTCCTCTTCATTGTGAGTGGAGCCGGCTAGAGCCAGGGGTCAGACTAGATGGCCTGGGAGACCCCTTCTGACTTGCTCTGTTTCTATGTTTCATCTTATCCTCACCACAACAACCCTGTGAGGTAGGGTTGGGTTAACAGTCTGTGACTGGCCCAAAGTCACCCACTTGGCTTCATGGCTGAGCAGGGATGAAAACCCAGATTGCCTGAGTCCCAGTTCCTCTTTTAATCTTGACACCACACTGGCTCTTTTGAAAGGAGAAGGAGATTCACTCCTTTATGTGGCTTAAAGATAAAAATAAGAAGTAGACAACTCTATGGATGACTGGTCTATGGAAGGCCTCCCACCATAACAGTTCAATGGAGCCTCATATACACAGGGGTAGCATACCTCTGAGGTCCCAAATACAAGGGGAAAATGAAATTGTTGCCCTCTCTTCCATGGATCTCTACTTCCCCATGGGCCAGAACTAATCCACACACCTGGGGGACATCTCTTAAGTACCAGGCTCACCTGAACTGACCTCCATAGGGGATACCGGTTCAGAGGGACACTGGGCTAAATTAGCATGGCCTCTGTGGGCAAGCTACAGTTCCAGACCCTGAAATGTGTGCCTGGCTTGATGAATGTCTTACACCTTGGTGCATGGGAACTTGAGTAGCAGGAAGGACCACAGCAAGGCATTTTGTCTCCTGAACCTCTGAGGATGGCCTCCATGCACAAGGAGGTGTGGAGCAGATGGGTAAGACGAGCATCTGTTGAGATATTGGGTCCCAGCTGTACAGGACTTTGGATTGTACTAGCTTCACAGACTAACTTCACAGTCTACTAGCTTTTTGCCATTTTATGGCTTGGACCTGTACCTCATTATACCAAGTTAGGCATTGTCTTTTTTAAAGGCAAGCCTTCCAACAGCTGCTACGTGACTTTCTAATCAACTTGTTGCTGTTCCTCAGCGTCTGAAAAAAAAGAAAGATGAAAAGTCCCATTCTCGTGTTTCATAGCGCTCTCTGAAGCACAGTCCCTGGAGTTCAGTAGGATTTACTCCCAGGAAGTGTATATAGGATCTGAGCTTTCACAGCCAGCCAGCCACCACTTCTTTGCATATGTAAAAGAGATCAAGGTTACCTGCTGTATGTCATATGAACCCTCTTGCTCCAACTCTACATTTCCTCCAAGTATTAAAGCATTCCTTATGCTCCCGAGAGCATAAAGAGACTGAGATCAGTAGATGCAGAGAGAGAGAGAGAGAGAGAGAGAGAGAGAGAGAGAGAGAGAGAGAGAGGGAGAGAGAGAGAGAGAGAGCGTACTCACTTGTGCTGCTTCTCTGCCGACAGTGTTTCTTGTGACTACAAAGGCAGGGAGCCAAATCAGTGTCATTTTTAAGGAACAGCCTCCCTTGCAAGGTGGAGATCAACCCACTGCATTAACAAGCAAAGCCAGCCAACCTTTCCACTCCCTTCATTTCTCTTGCTGCCAAACAAGTAGATAGGTATAAATCTAGCGGTACACGTGCACATGCTCACACACACGCACAGACACACAGGATGGCATTTTGCCTGCTGGAGTTGCCAGAGACTAGCTCTGCCAGCTATCTGCATGCTCTGGTTTTTCTTCAGGATGGAAGCAGTGGGGAAAAACCAAAACCTCCTGCAATATTTTAAGCCCTAGCATTGTGACCATCAGGTGGGGATTGCCGACTGAAGCAGGTGAGTTGCCCTTTGCAAAGAGAGACAAGCTTAGTTTGAAGCTCACTGCAACCAGGTGGACTAAAGATCTACTGGAACACTGAGCAGGAAAGAGAACAAATGCCACAGGAGCTTAACTTGTCCATGTCGTAAAAGGCTTGTCCCTGATGAGGTATGTGATCAGCGTAATCTTACTTTACAAGCAAGTAATTTAGGCATGCGAGCAGGAGACCAAGTTTTAGAAGAATACTTTAGCAGCTTCTAGCTACCTAAGTGACATCTTGTCACAAGAAGCCGTGACTAAAGAGCAGAGAGACAATATTACCGTGACGGCAAGATGCTGTTAGCCAGGCAATTGCTTAGTCACAATGCGAATGATAAATAGACCATTTACTGTCAGCCACTAAAGAGTTGGGATTGGATCCAGGAGTTGGCTTCGTGAAAGGAAGGACTTGTCTTGCAAAAGATCCTTTTGCGTAAATTTTGGAGATTCCCCCCCACACTCTACAGGGCACCCCCCTCAGCAGGGTCTCTGAAACATCTTCAGGGTATTGGTGGGGCTGCTGTGGAAGGTGGGGGTTGAGGAGTCCTCTTCCACCAGTTTAGTTGGTCTATCCCCTCTAGATGAGATACAGTTACCTGCTTACCTTCACGTGGCAGGGCATGAGGACTGGGGAGGGGGAGTTGGCCAAAAGCTCTCTGCTGTGTCATTGGTTTAAACAAGATGATATGGTAGAAGATTTCTGTGTCCACTACAGAATAGGCTCAGAACCGAAGGTCTCTTGCATTGCTGAAGAACATGCTGAAGCCCTTCTCCTTTACAGCTCCAGAGTAGATTTCAGTTGTTCCATAAGGGAACCAGTGTCTCCTTTTCCATCTTTCAGGCAGCTTGGTCCCAGTATTATTTCTGTCCATATCTGGCCAAATGAGAATAGGTCTCTTGCCTGTTTCAGGAGAAGGCAACCTGTAGGCCTCCAGGCTGCATTTTTGCCTGCCGTGGTCCAACCCTCTCAACGGCCACATGCTGCTTATTCCTGATTTATATAATGCTTTTATCCAAAGGGACAGGGCTGGAATGGGATGTTAAAACATGCACACATACTGCCAAATAAAAGAGAAAAAGAAAAATCTTAGGTGCCTGAAAAAAGATTGCACTTTTGCACAGCATGTTTCAAAAAAAAATATTTTTTCTTTCCCCAGGGATTGTAATTCACAACCAAACATTATTAGCATTGTATAACACTCCTAAAAATCTACATATATCAAAAGGTTGTGTTGGTTAAGATTGCCCACTGAAACCACAATTGGTACCTTTTCTAAAGCTTGGCCTTGATAAGAAATTTGTATATTGTATACAATGGAAGCTATCTGGATGTTTTGCTTCCGTCGTACAAAAGGCCCCATGGCTGCTAGGAAGCTTGCAGAAGGTAGAGTCTGAGCTCCAATCTCTCAGCCTGTTCTGAGATCAGAGTTACGTAGGACCCTTCTTTCCACCCTTGTAGGAGGCATGGAAGGAATCACACTGGCCATGACTCTGAGGTTGTGAAAGTGACCTCAGAGATGGGCTCTTGAAGATGGTGGGGGTGCAGAGAAGGCACGTTTCACCATCATAGAAGGTATGATGGTGTTTCAGCCTCTTTTCTTCATGCTCCAGGGCAAAGCCCTCAGATGGTCAAACTGGCCAACTAACTGCTTTGCACGGCAAGAGGAGCCCAGCGCCCACCTTCACCTCCATGTTTCTCCACCCATGCATAGGATGCCCGTAATCTTTGGGGGTTACAGGTAGGGTTGGGGCAAGCCCAGAGGAGCTGCCGCCCCTCTGCTGCTCACAGACCTCCTCTTGTTCTTGGCCTGGCCTGGCAAAGCAAGCTGAGGTGAGAGGCAGTCTGGGAATGCTCACGGAACAAAGGCTGCGCACCCCGCAACCTTCCTCCGTGCCTGGTGGTGCAGAAGAAGGGCAGGGCTAGCGCTTGCATGGGGCTTACCAGGAATAACCTCCAGCAGCAGCCTCTATGTGCAACGGCTGTTTGGGCCACTGCAGGTGGGTCTTTGCTTGCACAGCATCTGGGGCAATGCTCTGAGTGCTTGCCAGGGACTCAGACTTAGGGCGGCTGCAAAACAGACCGGAGTCGAGGAAGCGGAGCCAGGGAATCCAATGGACTCCCACCTCCAGGCAGATCCCTCACACACCCGGGTACAGGCAGTCTAGGTATATTGCTCTGTAAGTTAGGAAAACTAATGTTGTTCTTGCTGTAAGTTTCATCAGAAAGTTTACTCACAGCCAAGAATATCGCAACAAAATTTCCTCTGCAATGTAATGATATTACTTTACTTCACCTATAGCTGCTTTCAGGCTATAAAGTCCATGTTTTCTGAGCATTTCAAAATAAAATAAACATTGGAAGGACCTTTTTTGGGAAATCTGAAGAAAGATAAGAGGGTGAGTGCAGGGATATTAGCACACTGTGAAAATATTTCTCTGGAGGAGTTTGCCAATATCATGGTTCAACGCTATTTGTTTTATCAGCCAGGGAATCCACTACTGTAGGTGTTTATGCTCGCAGTCCTGGATGATTGAAATGTTTTCAAGTTTCTTAGACACATTTAAATACTTGAATCAATAAAGGCATGGATTAGAATGTTTGGGATGCAGTCCAGTGGGTGTCTAAGAGTTTTACTGATGAAAAACTTTTCTCAGGTAACCTTTTAGGATTTTGCAGAGTGCCAGCTCTGACCTGGGAAGTGTGTGCTGAGGTCTGGGACTGCCTTTCTCCTGCCCCCACCGTTGGTGTGGAAAGAACATCCCTAGCTGTGGCTGCGGCATCCTGGCCCTGAAGATGGGCTTTTGGGAGCCAAGGATGAGGCAAAGGAGAAGACAGGTTCTGCAAGCATATGGCACATCCTGCTGGTGTTTCCATCTCTTTTCTTCATCGTCTGGGACAGAACGTTGAGTTGGCCGACATCTGCCTTACA